TGTGACAATAGTGCAGAAGTAGTCCAAGCCAATGACCCAAGGTTCCATAGAGGAACAAGATACACTGAGAGGAAGTATCATGTTCTACATGATATTGTCCGGCAAGAAAATGCACTTGTAGTTAGAACATTGCATTGGAACACAACTTTGTTGATCCATTATCAAAGGTGTCATTGATCAATAATTTTGATCATCATCTGGATAACATTGGAGTTAGGTGCAATTTGAATTGGCTATGAGGACAAGTGGGAGCTGTTGGGATTTATATGCCCTGGCATAGCAAATTCCTATCTGGATTATAATGACATATGTTCCTGACATATTTGAAATATTTATGATTTATATAATTGGTGAATTCAATGTATTATGTTTCGATTCACTATGAAATTGATAGTGTCCATGTAATTACCAGAAATATTTATATATATGTATGTGATGGCAATCAATGCTTGATATATAAATAGTAATTATAAATTGTTCATAGTCGGTAATTATGGATGGACTCATAATTAATTAAGACTTGAACTGGATCCGCGTTAGGTTGAGATATATTGCGAGAGCCGTCGTATGCAATTACTCCCTATCACCGTCATGGCATTTGACTCTTAAGTATGAGAAAATTATAGACTCTTTTATTAATTAATAATTACTTTGATTTGTTCGGCGGATTCTTCGGGATCCTTAGACCGACACTTTGGGTAGTTATGTAATTAATAGTTAGAGGGTTATATTTTCAATATTTACATCATTGCTACTTGTATTTATTTTGTATTGATTATGGTTGATCACAAAGTAAATTCGAAGGCCTTCGTGTATTTTTAGACAAAATGATTTATTATATATTTATTTATTTAAATTATTATTTTTGTCAAACAAATGTTTTATTGTGATCGAGCCAGAAATAATCAAAGGTACCAAAATAAATATATTAATTAAGTAGTCGGATTGATGGCTTTATTTATCCGATAACTAATTATGCATAGAGGGGTCAAAGTGCAATATTGACTTAGAGGTTATTTATTATTTAATTGGAGTTCAATTAATTTCTTTTAGTGGAATAGAAATTAATTTATGAATTAATTGAATTGGGTCCATGGACCGGGCCAATTATTAATTCATTGTAGCCAATAAAATAATAGGCCCAATGGATTCTCACTCATAGCCCAACTTGATATTGGAATCATATTAGATTTGAGACATGTGAATTAGAGATTGAGAAGGATTAGTTGTTTCCTTTTCTTTACCTTTATGTTGCCTATAAATGTACATGATCTATGTATATTTTAGGTGTAATTTTTAGTAGAAGGAAAAAGGAATATATTTTCTCTCTCTAGAAAATTAGGGTTTATGTTCTCATCTAATGGAGGCTCCCACAAGCCTAGTTTTCCAAGGTTATTCATGGAGGCATATGAGTGATTCCTAAAGGTAAAACAATTACCAAGAAGATGGAGATCCAAGAAGAATGCATCTTGCTAAGGAATCTACAATAAGTGAGAACATTCACTTTAGAGGAGAGATCTAAGGTTTACTCAAACCTTGATGTAAGTATTCAATCTTTTAATTGAATGATACATCATGTTTTATTTTTGCATAAAACTTGTCTCTATGTAATGAATCAAGATCTATGAATTTAAATCCCTCGAAAAGTTTTTAAAACTAGCACGTTTCCTAACAGTTAATGCTCTTACTTTCCAGTTTACAAGAAGTAATGTTAACTTGTTATAGCATTCATATTACATCCTCTCCTTTTTTTTTTTCTTTTTCTTTTTTTTCTTTTTACTCTGAATATATATGCTTTTGCTTTACATAATTTGAGAGATAATATATAAGATTCATGTCTTATGTAGTCTATCGAATATCGTAAGAATTTGAGAACAATGGCGCATCTAGTTTGCTCTCATTGATTTTGTAGCTTAGGCTTAGCATCAGCCATGGTAGAAGGTCTGTTTGGTTAATCAGGCTGTGTGCTTCTAATTTTACTTAATAGCAGGATCTTTTTCAACATCTAAACTAACCATAATGTATTAAATCTATCTTTCTAACAACAAAAGAAATTAAAAAAAAAATATGATGAGAACACACTATTCCCACATTGCCTTCCAATTTTTATTCTGCATCTCTCTCTCTTCTTTAGGAAAGTTGGTGAAAAAATTCATTATTTCTTTGCCTCATACATGTGAATTGATGATTACCGATGTGTGATGTGTACTATATGCTAATATAAAGGGAATAAGTTACATTTGTTCTTAGATGGTAATGCAATCAGTTTATGAAAGAAAAAGAAAATTTGTAAGAAGGAAAAATAGAGAGCTAGATCAAGCTAAAGTACAATTTAAACACCCACCACTCAATTCCAGAGGAAAGGGAGAGGTACAACTTAAACACCCACCACTCAATTCCAGAGGAAAGGGAGAGATAGAAAGCTGCTATAGCACGCTGAATATATTGATAATATCAAAAAGCTGCTTAATACAACTTGGAACAACCTTTTTATAAGTCACAAGGGATGCCCAAGCAAAGATTTAATTCTAATTATTCATATACTCTATAAGAGCTACTATTCTGTCCAGCAGATTAAAGGCACTAAAAATCACAAAACAGCCCTTAAATGGTTACCTAACTCACTTAATAGGCACATGACTCACTAAATAAATGCAGAATGACAAAAATATTCCAACTAGAGCTTAAGACAAACATTAAACAGAAAATTAAGACAGAATTACGGCTTTACTAAATGGCATAAAACCAATAAACATGGTTTCCCTTAATAATGCAATTTTCAGTCCACTTTTCTTAGCATTTTCAACTGTTTGAAGAAAGACCTCTTCCACTTGCTCTGAATCAGATGGAATTGATCAAAGTAGTATTATACATAAGACGATAGTCCTCCTTTGTGAACTAGGCTACTTATGAGAGTAAGGTGCTGTTTGATAAAACTGAAATATATTTTTGAATTTTAAGTGTAAGGTGCATAATTTTAAGTGCCGACGTTTTAAGCGGTAATTATGAATTGAGATTATATATATATATATATATATGTTTGAATTTTTTTTTTTTTGATAAGTAAAGATATATTAGAAAAACGGTCAAAAGGGGAACGTGTCCCTAATACACAAAAACAAGAGAGCAAAAGCCAAACTTACAGACCAACAGAGTCCAATAGAACCAAAAAAATTTCAATCGAGGAGCAAGTGCTACCTCTAACATAACAGAAAAGAGAGCGAAGAATAAGAGACTTAAGATTTGCAAAAGATGATTCCTTCCCTTCAAAGTGTCTGTTATTTCTCCCTCTCCAGATACACCACCAAACACAGTGTGGGACGACCCTCCAAAAATCACGAGCCTGACCAGAAACAGGGCAACTTCTCCGAGCGTTAATTAATTGGGAAGATTGCTTAGGCATTACCCACTGAACGCCAAAAATATTAAAAATGAGATTCCAACAATAAGATGCAACAAGATAATGCATAAGAAGATGGTCCACGGACTCTCCATCAGCTTTGCAGAGACAACACCAGTTAACAATGATATTATCTCTCTTACATAAATTATCCGATGTTAAAATTTTCCCCCAAGTAGTAGTCCAAACAAAGAAGGCAACTCTAATAGGAGCTTTAGAGCGCCAAATACACTTTTATGGGAAATTATGTCCAATAAAATTAGACAAACACAAGAACATGGACCGAACTTCGTATCTACCATGAAGAGAGGGGGTCCACAACATATCATCACAACCTCTGCTAACATCCTTCTGTCTATACAACAAATGACGCAAACTTCTGCTATCTCCCAATCCTAAAAAGAGCGCCTAAAACGCACATCCCACGTAATTCCACTGTTATCAAGATGATAACAGTCAATTACATAAGCATGCTTATTCTCGGCAATGCTAAAGAGAAGAGGAAAGGAAAGAGACAACAACTGATCACCACACCATAAGTCTTCCCAAAACCTGACATTCATACCATTACAAACCTTGAACCGAATATGGGTGGAAAACACATCCAACCTTTCCGAATGAACTTCCAAACGCCAACACCCCTGGTAATAGAAACAGGACGAGAGGACCAACCTCCACTCTCTTCCCCAAAACGACACGAGATAACTCTTCTCCATTGTCGATGACGCTCTTTATCGAACCTCCATAACCACTTCCCCAATAAGGCTCTGTTAAAAAGGACCAACTTCCGGATACCTAACCCACCAAACTTTAATGGTTTACAAATCTGCTCCCAATTAATAAGATGATACTTAAACTTCTCTCCTTTACCACCCTAAAGAAAGTCTCTCTGAATTTTTTCAATTCGTTCAGCAACAGAGCACGGGATTTGAAACAGCGATAAAAAATATGTGGGAAGGGACGAGAGGGTGCTCTTGATAAGAGTGACCTTCCCCCCTTTCGAAAGATACTGTTTTTTCCATCCCGCTAGTCTTTTTTCATACCTATTAATCACCGGATCCCAAGTACCCACTTTACTGGAGGAGATACCCAAAGGTAAACCCAGATAAGGGAGTGGAAAAGCACCCACTCCACACCCAAGAACAGCAGCTAAAGAGGAAATATCAGAAACCTCCCCCATTGGGACAAGAATACTCTTCCCAACATTAATTTTAAGACCAGACACTGCTTGGAAGCATGTAGAATACATCTCGAATACCTGAGTTGGGAGACATCAGCATCACAGAAAACCAAAGTATCATCTGCAAACAACAAATGGGATATCTCAATTTGGTTAGCAACATCTCTGCCAACAGTGAATCCCCTTATGTACCCCAAATCCTCTACCTTTTTTCATTAATCTACTCAATCCCTCCATGACAATAAGGAAGAGAAAAGACGACAAAGGATCTCCTTGTCTCAAACCACGCAAGCTCGGAAAAAAACTAGCAGGAGAACCGTTCACAAGCACAGAGAACATAACTGACGAGATGTAAGATTGAATCCATTTTATCCATCTATCCCCAAACCCCATTCTCCGAAACAAGTAAAGAAGAAATTTCTAATTCACATGATCATAAGCTTTCTCGATGTCAAGTTTGCATAATACACCAAGAACTTCGCTCTTCAACCTGGAATCGACACATTCTCCTACGATAAGAACGGAGTCTAAAATCTGTCTACCACTAACAAAAGCATTTTGTGATTCTGAGATGATTCCATCCAAAACATTTCGCATTCTAAGAACAAGGACCTTGGCAATAAGCTTATACAAGCACCCCACTAAACTGATTGGCTGGAAATCCTTAATGTCAGAGGCGTTGCCCTTCTTAGGAATAAGAGCAATGAAAGATGCATTAAATGATTTCTCAAAAGTGCCGTGAGAATGAAATTCCTGAAAAGTGCCCATAACCTCATTACGCACAACTTTCCATCTTTCCTTCAGAAACCACATAGTAAATCCGTCTGGCCCTGGAGCTTTATCACCGTTACAAGTGGATAATGCCTTGAGCACTTCCTCTTCAGAGAACGGAGCCTCAAGCAAATCATTATCCAGCGTAGAAATAACATCGAAATGCAAACTATCAAGTTTTGGTCTCCATTCCAAAGTCTTAGTATAGAGCTACTGATAAAAAGAAACAATACCCTCACGTACCTCATCTTCTTTCCGCAACTCTAAACCATTCACACGAATCCGCCCAATATTATTGTATCTTCTATGGGCGTTAGCAAGCCTGTGAAAGAACTTAGTATTGCGATCACCTTCTTTAAGCCACAAAGCCCGAGATTTCTGACGCCACGAAATCTCCTCCATAGTAGCAATCTCAGCAAAAGTCACCTGACAAGACACTCTTCTAGAGCGTAAAGATTCTGTAACTTGCCCTGTCTCATCAAGACTATCAATCTCAGCAATATCAGCCAGGACTTTATTTTTCTTCCATTCGAGATTCCCAAACACTTCTTTATTCCACTTTTTAAGTTCAGATTTGAGAGTCTGAAACTTCTTAGCAAGCACATAGCTAGTAGAGCCAGTAAACGTTGCTTCCTCCCACCAGGACTAGATCTTCCTTTGGAAGTCCTCAGCTCTCAACCACATATTTTCAAAACGAAATGGAGTCCATCTAGATCTCATACCTCCACAATCAAGAACTAAAGGTACATGATCAGATATGACTCTAACTAAAGCTACCTGAGTGACATCCGGGAACTTCTCCTCCCAATCTCCAGAAATCAGGAATCTGTCGAGCCTCGATAAAGTAACTGAGTCTCTGCCGCTAGACCAAGTAAAAGTTGCCCCTTCCAATTGTAAATCAATAAGAAAGTGACCATCAATAAAGTCGGAGAACTGGGTCATCTCCAAAGACCACCTCCCCCCTATGGATCTCTCAAATGGAAACTGAACAGAATTAAAATCTCCACCTAAGCACCAAGGCAATGACCACAATTCCTTAATGTAGCTAAGTTCCTGCCAAAAAATAGGTCAATCACAATCAATAACGGGTCCATAAACTCCAGAAAAGACCGAACTGAAATTATCATCTTCCATCTGAAACACGCATGACAAAGAAAATAGCCCTTTCCAGATATTCGTTCTAGACATCCATCTGTGATCCCACATAATAAGAATGCCACCTGATTTATCGGAGGCGTTCAAGGCTTCCCAATCCACGAACCTACTTCCCCAAAGGCTTCTAACCACATCATCAGAAATAGAAGCCAACTTGGTGTCTTGCAAACAAATAACATGGGCATTCCACTTCTTCAAAGCAACTTTAACCACCTTTCTTTTGTCCGGATCGTTTAATCCACGGATGTTCCATGTAATAATTCGTATCTTCATTGAGAACCAAAAATAATCAATGCCCCACCTCCCTACTTCCCACTTCTGGTCCTTCCCTTTTCTTTAGTCACCCCATCTTTCCCTTCATAATTGACATTGGAAATAAGGTTCTTAATCTCCTGATCACCTTTCCGATAAGCATGTTTCCTATTTTTAACAACTGTTATGCTTTTAGAGATCTTTGTATTAATACTTCCTGCCACAATATCATGAAGAATGGTTTGTGTTTGAACATCATCTCCTTCGGAGGAAACACCCAAAGCTTCACTGACCTCGCCAATATTATCTAACACCCAGTCCATACCCAAATCGTTAACCGTCTCTAAACAATCAGGATGCACAGTTGCTAAGGGTTCTATAATGTTGACATCAGATTGATCAATATCCCAGGCAAGAGGACAGATTTGTTGAGACTGATCTTCAAAGTTCTCCCATTTGCTTTCAACACTATTCTGATATAAGTTTAATTGCAAATTCAACTTTATTCTAGGATCATCATGAGTAGAGTTCATCCCAGTCACGGAGGGTAAACCATTTAAGCCATTATGAGCAGCACAGAGTTTAAGTTCATTAAGTAAAGTCACGGCTAAATCATCTGTTAACTTAAAATGAAGGTCTCGTCCAACACAAACTGTCACCCCGTTGGAACAACCAATACTTTCGGACTTGGTTAATGAAGACGGTGATTCTGCATCCTGTAGAATAATGGCCTCAGAAAGACCACCCCTTTGATCTAAACGATCTTCCACTCCACCTTCACCATTACTCATCACCTTGTGTAAGTTTTAAAGAGGCATAGGTCTACGTAGATGCTCATAGAGCTCTTGGAAAAAGGCTTCGTATTAAATTTGCCCGAGTGTCTCCTATATTGTAATGTGAGGGGGGTAGAGGTATGTTCATAGTTTCTACAAGGGAAACTGGTGCTCATGTCAATGAGGTTTCATTATGGGATATTGCACACATTCATATCAGGGTCCAGACGAGATTTAATCGCGTTTTGTGGGTAGACGATGCTATGATGTAGTATGGTAGTCAGCAAGGTTTCCAGGCTGCCAATACAGCTCTAGGACAATGCTGAGGCAGTCAGGTCTTTTTGCAGTTAGTTATCTGTTGTGGTAATAGGTTAGTCTTACGGTAGGTGACCACATATTGAGAAGTGCTGCTGTTATTATATCGTCACATAATTAGGGGCTTTCCGAATTCAAGAGTTCCATTAGGTCTCTCTGTAAGGGAAGCCAAGATATCGACCACTAGGATACATCTACTAATTTTACTACGCTGACAGGTGCTCCTAGAGTTGACTGGCATTACCTTGAGGCTCATTCAATAACTGCTCTCTAGTTGCCTGTTTATTGAAGTTGGAGGTTTTAACAGTAGTGAGTTATTGCGTTTGCAATAGGACTTGACATGTTTGGAGTTTCATGGAGAAATTAAACTGTCATCATTTACGTGGCATTCGAGTGCATTACAGTTCTTGTGAAACCATGTCTGTCCACTGCGTTTTGGAAACTATTCCAGTAAAGTGTGCAACAAGTAAAGCCGTAAGAATACTTATTGTGGGTTTATGTAAGAGGTAGAGCTGCAAGAATGTTGTCCCTTTAGGGACATCAATTGGAATGATATAAAGAAGATAAGCATGGCCCTCGTGCAATCTACCGGGAAAAAAAAAAAGCTACAAGAATGTGGCATATTGTGGTTTGTGTGAAGATGTCATGTGAGAGGTTGAAGATAGGCATTGGCTCTGGGTGTTCCTGTGTGTGGGGGAATCCCATTCATTTGAACATGAAGAATGTTTCAGTCAGCCTTAACATCTACCCTTGCTTTTGGGCTTGGGCTAGTTGAATAGGCATTGGCTAAGGTTAGTTGTTTCTTTTGTTCCCTTTGGTTCGGTCTGGGCCCTTGCCTCTTGGGTGTAGTAGGTTCCTTGGGTTGTTTGTTGTATGTTACCTCTCTCCCAGTTTGTTGAACATCATAATAGATCAACAATTTAATTCAAGTCTTGTGCAAGAATTAGGATTCTTCTATTATTAATGGAGTTGGAATATTAATCCTTCTTCCTGTTAACAAACATGTGTTAACTATGTTTTTTTCTCATGGCAGGTTTTTGGTTCGTATAGTGAGCTTTTGCAAGAAAAGTTTGTTGAAACGCCGGAGAAATGTCTGCATAAATGTCTGCTTAAATGTCCCAAGGTGGTCGAATTCATTGGATTTGCTGGCCGTGAGATTGATGTTGAGTTTGCCATGTACTTACTTGAAAATGTTGTGTCGCTACATAAGATTACTATTGATACTTGCCAACCATATAAGTTACCCCCCGAATATATAAGACCCCAAAGGAAGGAATTTGAGGGTCAAGTAGAAGCGAAAATGTGTGCTATGGAGCTGCAAACAAAATTGCCTCCAGGGGTTGAACTAATTATACTATGAAGTATATTGATCTAGTGATTTTGTGGAGGCTGTTCATGTCATTAAAGTCGAGATAGTTGCATTAGGGTTGTGCTTTATAAGATTTAATTATAGATTGAGAACTTTTGTATGTAAAATTTCATTAAAGATTGTAATGATACAATGTTTTTGTGTATAAAACAGAGGACAGGCGTCTGTTTAGCAAGTGGAAGAATGCAGTGCTAGCATTTAACTGTTGTGATTTTGTATAGTTAATAAATGATGAGAATTTTTGTACAGTTCATATGTAATAGAGTTTAACATATCTGATTGTGTAGATTAGATGCTCACAAAAACAATTTTCTTTTATATAGGTAACTAGGTAAGCAATTCACAAAGTGAGACTTGGAACCCTCATCCTTGAAGAGAGATCACCTAAGTTAAGACCTGTGCAAAATTTCCAATATTTTCTTCTAAACTTTCCTTGAGCTTCCGAGCAATTGAATCTCTTTCAATTTACTATCCTGGGAGTAGGGAGTCTGAGTATGTAGAAAGGTAGTTCTTCCTTTCTCGGATCTTGGTGGAGAATATGAGGGCAAAATGTTTAACTACTAACCAGCCACCCCCATCCTCTTTCTAGTTTCAATTTTTGGCCAAAAAAACACCTACAAAAAAAAGTTGTCATAAAACTCCCTAAGAATTTTGGTTGTTGCAAGCTGCAACACTGCCTACTCAGTTAGAAAAATCCTTTTCTGGGTCGAAGTTGCCCCTCCTCCCAACCCTTATGTAAGCCACTTATTGTTTGATTTTTGAAAATGTTATAATTAATTTTCTAAATATGCTTTAGATTATAAATGTGGTTACTTGCATTCAAAAAAATAAAAAATTAAAAATTAAAAAAATTTATACAAAAAAAAGTATGGAAAATAATTTTTGCATCGAATAGTTGCAGTGAATTGCAAGACTTATTTTTTTAATTGGTCAATTATGCAACAAATAAGGAAGTGGAGTCCTCCACTTAGTTGTATTTGGTATAGGCAATTCATTGCAAGTGTTCGGTGTGAGTATTACTACTCAAAAATTATATATGCAAATAGTTTAAAGTGACATTTTTTCAATTATTAAGAAAAAAAAAAAAAAAAAAGTTTGAATTGACCTTGTTTCAATTATTAAGAGAAAAAAAAAAAAAAAAAGGCCCTTCAAATTCATTTATGTACTAGCTAATTGCATTTAAAGTGTTAAGTTTAAAGTGTCCTTGTTTTAATTATTAAGAAAAAGAAAACCTTCAAATGCATTTATGTCTATCTAATTGCATTTGAAGGTTTTAAAATATACATATAGTTTAAAGTGACCTTGTTTCAATTATTAAGGAAAAAAAAAAAAAAAAAAGCTTTAAATAGTTGGGAGGGGCTATTTCGTTCTAAAAAATAAATTTTCTAATTGCAGGGGTAGTATTGCAATAACCAAAATTCTTAGAGGGGTTTTATAACCATTTTTTTAGTGAATTTCCTACCAAAAATTAAAACTAAATGGGTGTTTATGCAATTTGCCCTTATAATAATAATAATAATAATCATCATCATCATCTTTGCTCACAGTGCATCGTGCGGCTCCCCTCCGACTTGGTATAAAGCTTTGACTTGCTATCAAAAAATAGACATAAAGTTTTGACTAGCCACCACCATTGCCTTCCTCTGTCACCACCGCCACTGCCTTTCACCACCATTGTCACCTCCTTCCACTACTACCACCACCAACTCCACTACCTTTCACCACTACCGAACTCACAACCATTGTCACCTCCTTCCACCACTAGCACTACCAACTCCACTACCTTTCACCACCACCAAACTCACATCCACTTACTTCCACTATAGTCACCTTCACTATTATCTCCTTCCACCACCTCTACCAAACTAGCATCGTTTTTTTTTCTTTTCTTTTCTAACGTTTCTATTGGTACGGTTATATATAATTGATTTCCAATTTCCTGATAGCTTATGTAGTCCACTGCGTTTTCATCGCCCAATCCTTACCCAAATAGTCATGTGACCTATAGCTTTTATATCATTACTTTCATATAATTACTTTATTAATATTATTATTCCAATATTTTCTTTTGACCATAACTCTTGGCACGTTTTATTCTCCTTATTTACTTTATATACTACCACCAACATATAATAAATATCAAGGCACGGATACACACACAAGTATATATATATGTATGTATATTAATATATATAATTAACCAATATAAAATTAACTAACATAAATATTAATACATAATTAATAGAAATAAAATTAAATAACCAATTAATGGTAATAATATTTATATTTATATTTATATATTTACGGGTCTTTACAAAGATCACGACTCACGAGAGAGAATTGATAGATGCAACATAGTAAACTCGGGGTGAGAGGTGAGGTTGGTAGATCAATCGAAGACTATAGTGATTTCGAGGGTGTGAATACCTTTGCGTCATCCTTCTAATACCTTGACTTAGCCTCTAAAGAGCTTGATATTATGTGCATCTTCGTGTGTATTCTATGGCGGCGGCTAGGTTTGCATCCTGTCTCTCTTGACAATGAAAGAGGCAGCAAAAACTAGT